ACACACACACACACATACACACACACACACACACACACACACACACACACACACACACACACACGCACACGCATACAGGAATCGGCGGGCGGGGAAGACGAACCAAGGGAAGGAGACTGCTTAAGGTAAGACAAAAAAGGAGGTGAAGTGAGGGAGCAAGGCAAGGGACCAGGGATACTGGGTATAGCTGACCGAGAAACCCGATAAAGCATGCATGGTTGTCGGGACCTACTCCCATATTACGTGGATTTGCCTCCGGGAATGCAACCGGTGTTCTATTTCGTTTTGCTTTGCGTATTGCTCATTCGCATGAACTGGGGTTAAGTTAGCCAAGCGGCCATTAAGGATGTTCTTTGTGCTCGCAAGAATTCGATTTTTTCATTAGTATTTTTCGGAATCAGTATGATTGTGTGTCTTGTCGCTCCCTTACCCCACCTTTCTCTCCGATGTGCCTTTGTCTGAATCATTGATGAATGACTCACCTAGTCTACTGGTTAACCTTTTTTCTTTCTCACCCCACGTTCCTTACCTATTTGAAAACGATCTTACCCGATGCGGCTCATGCAAGCCTTCGCGGCAACAGGGCGCGTGCTCGAATTCGAACGCGATGCCCCTACCTGTGATCGCTTGCATCCGCGCTCAGGTTCGAACTCGATTAGCAAAGCAATTGTAATCAGTGTGATTATGGGACTCGTCCTTCAAGTTCCTCTACCCCGCCTTTTTACGATGTGCGATTGCCTAAAGCATCGATGAATGACTCACTTGGTATGTGGTTTTAAGCTTTCTTCCCCCCAGCACGTTCTTACCCAGAGCGGCTCGAGCAAGCCTTCGTAGTGAGCGGGTGCGTGATTAAGCTCGGATGCGATGCCCTTACCCACGATCGCTTGCTTGCGCGCTCATATTCGAATCCGATTGGAACGACCTGAGCGATTATAGCTCTCCACCTTTCCTTACCCCTCTTTTTCTGAGATGACTATTGCTTGTATCATCGTTGAAAGGTTCATCTGATCTGTTATTTTACCTTCCTTTTTTCTTCCTTTCTTTGTTTCTTTTTTCTTTTCTTCTTACCTCCCCGCTCCTTACCTATTTGAATACGATCTTATCCGGCGCGGCCCATACAGGCTTTTGCGCCAATAGGGCACGTGCGTGAACACGATGCCCTTACCAATGATCGCTCGCATCTGCGCTCAGGTTCAAATCCGATCAAAGAAGTAATTGAAATCGGTGTGATTATGGATTTCGACCCTCCAGTCGGGGGTACCATTGCTTGAAGCATTGATGAATAGCTCACTCGGTCTGTTATTTTAAGATTTCTTCCTTCCATTCCTGACCGAGCACGATCTTACCCGGAGCGGCTTAAGCAAGCCCTCGTGGCGAAGAGGTACGTGCTCAAGCTCGTACGCGAGGCCCTCACCCACGATCGCTTGCATACGCACTCAAGTTCGGATCCGATTGAAGCGATAATTATAATTTGTGTGGCTATGGTTCTCATCCTTCCCTTACCTCGCCTTTTTTCGATATGATATTGCTTGTATCATCGTGAAATGGTTCATCTGGTCTGATGTTTTACCTTCTTTTCTTCTTACCCCCTGCTCCTTTCCTATTTGAGTACGATCTTACCCGACGCAACTCATACAAGCCTTCGCGGCAATAAGGCACATGCTTGAACACGATGCCCTTACCTGCGACCGCTCACATCCGCGCTCAGGTTCGAATCTGACTAAATAAATAGTTGTAATCAGTGTGATTGTGGGTCTTGTCCTTCCCTTAACCCAATTTTTTCCGGTGTATTATTACTAAGATCATCGATCAGTGGCTTACTTGGTCGGATGTTTTAGCCTTCCCCCCCTTTTCCTTACCAAGCATGATCTTACCCGGGGCGGCTCAAGCAAAACTCCGTGGCAAAGAGACATGTGCTCAAGCTCGAGCGCGGCGCCCTCACCTGCGATTACTTGCGTCTACGTTCAAGTCTGAATCTGACTGAAATCTGTGTGATTGTGGCACTCATCCCCCCTTAC